CAAAGAAAAGAATAATATCCGAAAAACAGCAAAGTTCTGTTGCTGTTGTGGTACCTGGGACCATTTTTTTTATTAGCATCTTAATCATCATCTGGAAAGAGAACATTCTAGAGTAATATCATTAAATGTAGCTCTGATAAAGCATGGTCCCTACTATGTATCATAAAGCAGGTACAAGATAATTTACATTCATAGAGGTATGATACAGTACCGTCCTACATCAATAATACTAGAATCAATTTTGATTTGAAATTTACTTTGTCTGCAAATAAGATTGCTACCCCTGCTTTTTTTTGAGCTCCTGTTACATAGAGAATTGTTTTCTGTCTTTTCACTTTCAGCCTATGGGCTTATTTTTGCACTAGGTGTGTTTCTTGTATACAACATATTGTTGGATTTTGCTTCTTATTCCATTTTGCAAGTCTATTTCTCTTGATTGGAGAGTTGAGGCCATTGACATTCATGGTTATAACTGATATGTACTGATTTATTATTGACATGTTATTGGCCTTTTGTTTACTCTTTTTACTTTTTCACCTTCTCCTTTTAATTTCTTGCCTTGCCTATTTGATTTGCTCTGTTGGGCCTCATGGTGTTGTTGCCTTCATTGTCTTTTTCTAGGATCTTGTTTAGAACTGCTTGTAGTGCTGGTTTGGTATTCATGTATTTTCTCAGGTGTTCTTTGTCATGGATGTGTCTTATTTCCCCATCCATTTTGAAAGAGAGTTTTGCTGGATACATCAGTTTAGGTTGGAGGTTGTTCTCTTTTAGTACTTGAAATATCTCATTCCAGGCTCTCCTTGCCCCAAGAGTTTGTGTTGAAAAGTCTGCTGTGATTCTGATGGGCTTTCCTTTGTATGTGGTTTGTTTATTTTCTCTTACTGCTTGTAGTATTTTGCTCTTCTGTTGGGTTTCTGGGATCTTGATTATTATATGTCTAGGTGTAGATTTTTTTTTTATTGTAGCTAGTTGGGGTCCTATATGCCTCAGTTATCTGAATGTCAAATTCTTTCCCTCTGTTTGGGAAGTTTTCTGTCATGAATTCTGCAAACAGTTTTTTTAAGTCATTTGTATTTTCTCCTGCTACTTCATGGATTCCTATCAGTCTTATGCTATTCTTCTTTGCATCATCTAGGAGTTGCTGGATTGATTTCTCATGATCTCTTACTGTTTTTAAGAGACCTCTCTTTTTATGGTCACTGACTGCAATCTTATCTTCTATATCTGAGAGTCTATCTTCGCATTCTTTTATTCTGTTGCATAAACTTTCAACAGAGTGTTTAATCTCCTGGATATCTGTTTGAATCTGTTTTATGGATTCCATTTCTTTCTTATGCTGAGCCTTCATGGCTTCTATCATGGTCCTGAGCTCATCTATTTTTTGGTCAGTTTCTGCTCTAGAGTCTCGAATCATGACTTCCATTTTGCTCACTATCCCTATGGTTATCTGGGAAATTATTTCTGTTTTGAATTTTTCTAGAGCCTGATTGATCTGTTTTGTTACTTCCTGTGCTTTGAGTTCAGGGTGTCCTGGTGGTTTGCTATTGGCCTTTTCATTTGTTTGCCATTGGTAAACTGGAAGTCTGTCCTTGTGTCTTGCTTGTGTTTCTCATCTTAATTTTTGTTGTTGGACTGTCCTTGGTTTAATCTCTGGATTATCACCCAAATCTTCCTGATATAGTTGAGCCCTAACTTCTGTGTCTCTAACGACCCACAGTCATTCTCATCTTCATAACATCAGAAAAAACAGCTCATCAAATCAACCTCAATGCTTTATCCCAACTGATACAATCAGCAACACATTAAGATCAAGCACAACTTTGACACTGACAACCAGTGGTAGTCACTAGTCTATCACCCTTAAATCATTTTAATTAAATTGAAATCAAGAAGCAGTCCAGAACATGTGTGCCGTGAACAAAATTTCATTATAGTGTATTTACCATTTAATGGCTCAGACAGAGCGAGGATGAAAGACCCCTGATCCCAGTTAGCTGATGGCTGAACCCCATGATGCTGACTGACCTCGGGCTGCAAGGCCCAGAATGAGTTCCCCAACCTTCTGAATGATTGAACTCCACAATGTTCTATTACAGGTTTCCGACGACCTTTCTTTGAAGATGTTCAAAGTTGGGAACTCAGAAAAATACCCTTGATGACCACCTCTGCCTCTGCAGAGGGGGTCCAAAGACTGGCACAGTCAAGAGGTCTGAGAGTGTGGGGGGGTGGTTATAGGGGTTCTTGGGTGCCCACGCGGCTACCTTCCCAGTGCTTGGGTGATGGCAGCTGGGTCAGGAGCAGG